TTTTCTGTACAGAAAATTGTCAGTTTTGCTTTTAGTTCAAGTTTTATTTCTGTGGAAAACACATTGACGAGCATAGATGAATTTGTCATGGCTCTTGTTGCATAGTTAGAAAGCTCAAAATATTGTGATAGTTATGGGACATTGTCTGTTTTTTGCAATAAATTATTTATTGCAATACAACCAATAATATAAAAAAGTAGGGTTAAGTGTCATAAACAGTCAACAGAAGAAAAAAGACCTAGGTAAGTAAGTACTTTATTTATTGTTTTTAATGTGTAATCTTTACTTATAATTATAAAAGTAACTAAAGTGTAAAAATAGGAAACTTTTCAGGTTAGTTAATGATAGATTAGTTATAATAAATAACATAATAAAACTTTTTCATGAGTAGCTCATGCATAATGTAATTTGATGGTGTAATGTGAGCTGCATGTCCATCAAGTGATCTACAACTTATAATGGCATGAATAGTAGTTAGATAGGGTTCATAGTGTGATAAAACAATAAAATTTAAGTATAAATATATGTATACCATTATGGTTTTAAAGCTATTTAGGATAAACAAATGTAGTTAATGTTACAATTTGAAGTCATACTAGAAAGAAAAAAAGGATAATTTATATTTATTTTGATTTTTGTTATTAGGTTGTTACAAGAAAGTTGAAATTGACCAACTTTCTATAGACTCATAATATAGTTCGGATATAAAAAATAACATATAGTATAAAGTTTTACTGGAAAAGAAACATTTTTATTTTGTATATTAGAGGTTTTAGAGATTACTCAAATGAAATTGAGATTTTTGAGACAAAGAAGTATTTTTAAAAATCACTTTGCACTTGGTCTAGTAAAAAAAAATGCTATTTTATATTCACAGACAAATCTTCAGCAAAAATACTTCATTCAAAAGTCTGATTTGTTGTATATAAAAGACTTGTAATGTTTACTAAAAGCCTGCCAAATTTTATGAAGATGCACATAATGTATTAAAAGTTATAGTATGAAACTATATTGAGTGCAAAATGGTTACAAGGTTGGTTGAATCGACCGACCTCATAGCGACAGAGTTAAGGTAAATATCTGGAATTCATCTTGATACATGTGACCTTGGTGCTCTTTGCATCCTATTTCTAAGGAATGTGACATTTGTCCTATGTATTTATTTATTTATTTCCATATTCACATAGGATACTGTTTATGACTCTTGTTCTTTCAATAAGGATTCATTTGGGTTATGTAATAAGGTGTTAATTTTATGTGAAGTGGAGATTTGAATACAGTTTTTACATCAATGCTCCAGTTATTAAATAAGCTAGTAATTTTGTTAGCAATTTCTGATACAAAAGGGAATGAAACAAATTTGTTATGTTTTAGGTTGTTGATAACTGCAAGGTTCAAGTTAACACTATTTTCTACTGTTTTGAAGTTTGATATGAGCCCTATCTATGATAGTGCTATATTCATTAAGTAGTTGAATTCAACTAGTAAGTTTTCTTTGTGAGTATAAACTTAATATATCATCAGCATGAAATAGGTTATAAAATACTTTGAGATGGAATTCTTCTCTTACACCAATTTGAAACTTAAAAAAGAATGCCATTACTTAAAAACTATAGAAATCATCAAAGCAAACGATGTCTCACTACACAGTGACAATGACCCCAGCAACATCAGCCATATTTTGCAAGGTCTGTTCACTGCTCATACACTTGGTCAGACTTTACCTTTACCTATATCTTGTCACCTGCTGACATCATTTCTGTCACATTTAATCCCTGTGTCTGTTGTCTTTGTAACTAGATATATATATATATACATATATATATATATATATATTATGTATGTATATATAAATCTTGTACTTCGTAGTACAGATCATACCTGAAGAAGCCAGACCAGTGTTCTGTCAAAGTATGTAGTATGGTCCACCATCAATAAAAGTTTTCCTTATGTTTATAAATTGTTCTTTGCCTTCCTATTATTATGTCGATTGACAAGGCTTTTATTTATTTTGTTATTTAAAAACTTTATAATCCTAAAGCTATTCATGGAGAAGATAAATTTAATTTAATCTTTATTTAGATGGTGCCTCATTTCTTTTTGACAAAATAGTTTTTCCTGTCTCAGGCCCAGAAGAAGACCAAATTACGTTTATCCACAAAGCACAAGATGGGAAAAGATGACCATCGAAGGGAGAAAGATAAAATCTTTGGTCAGTACGAAGGAGAATCCATGAGACAGTGCTATGGACCCGGTTGTACAAACCTAGCCCGCTCTTGCTCCAAATATTGCAGCGATGAATGTGGTCTAAAGCTAGCCACAAAGTGAGCTCACATCTTTACATTAATATGTGTCCACTTACTGTACTTAATAGGAGCTTCCTCTATTAGTTTATACTGTTTCAAAACAATTAGAAGACTTGAAAAACAATGAAACCCTTGCATTTTCAATGAATAAATCTCTGTCAGAGACAAAACGAGAAACGATGCAATGGGATGTAAATGTAGATACAAGTTGAAAAATTGAAAGTCAGTCTGATTGGCTGGGTGTGGACTAAAGTCGTATATTAGATCTGTGTCATGGCAAGAAGCTTAGAAAAAACAATTTATTGATTATATGTTTTAAGTATTTATCTTTATTTTATTGTTATTCAATTGAAACAAATATGAAACAGCTCAGAATTAAAGGTTATCTTTTGACATGAAAAACCATTTATAAAAAAAAGGAAGATTGTTATAAAATCCAAAAATAGAAAAATTAGGGAAAATGAAATAATTGTTGAAAGTAAGGAATAAGCAAGATGTTAGAAATGAAGGTTACTAGTTTTAAGAGTGATAATCTAGGAAGCTTTCTTTTTGCCGTAAGTGTAACCTGGTTGTGGGATTTAAGAGAACCATGTTGGTGTAGTGGTAGTGTTGAGCAATAGAAAGGCTTTCATGATTGTTGGAATGTTCTATAAGTTTTGTTTGGGTTTATTACATTTTTTACAAATTATGAGATAAATGGTGCTTTGATTAGCATATAACTACTCTGTATCTTGATTGTTTCGTGTTTTTGAATGTCTGTCAAAGTAAATACTGATAGATTTCATGAACTTACAGGCATGATAAAAAACGTTATTACAAGGTTGACATGAACTAGAATATCTTTTCAACATGTTTTTCTAGAAGTAAATAAGAGGAATTCTGTAGAAAATATATTTTAACTGGTCATTAATTTGAAGTAAATGGAAATTTATTTTTCGAGTGTGTGTATTTTATGTAGAATGTAAATGTTGCTGGCTATTTGAATTCAAAATCTTTATTTTAACTGATCACTAAGTTGAGGACGTTTTGTCATAAATTCCAAGAGAAAATCCAATGTGTAGAAACTTTTAGGTGATAGACTAAGGATGGTATCTCATTGTTATCTTTTTTAACTGTTAGACTGAGGATGGTTCCTCATTGTTGCCTTTTTAATATTAGACGGAGGATGGTTTCTCATTGTTGTCTTTTTGATATTAGATGGAGGATGGTTTCTCATTGTTGTTTTTTTTTAAGTGTTAGTGTTAGACTGAGGATGGTTTCTCATTGTTGTCTTTTTAATATTAGATGGAGAATGGTTTCTCATTATTGTCTTTTTAATATTAGGTGGAGGATGGTTTATCATTGTTGTCTTTTTAATATTAGACAGAGGATGGTTTGTCATTGTTGTCTTTT